TTTTTTTTTTTTGAGACAATCTCACTATGTCTCCCTTGGTAGGTGCTGTGTAGTCACAGTTCACAGCAACCTCAAACTCCTGGGCTCAAGCGAGTCTCCTGCCTCCGCCTCCCAAGTAGCTGGGACCAGAGGCGCCTGCCACAACGCCCGGCCATTTTTTTGGTTGCAGTCATCATTGTTGTTTGGCGGGCCTAGGCTGGGGATTTGAACCCGCCACCTTGGGTGTACATGGCTGGCACCTTAGCCACTTGAGCCACAGGCGCCGAGAATGTTTGTTACTTAAAGTCTTGTAAAAATTGTATAGATAACTAGCTCCTGAAGAACAGAGATTACACTTACTTTTCTCTGTATTAACCATAAGTGTTAGTGTTGGGAACTTAATGTAATGATCAATAACTCTTTTTCAAGCGATTGAATGAGTCCTCAATTCCATTCAGATTTGGTTTACCACTAATCACTAATCCCTGAACTATTCAAAATCTATATTTATTGACTATAAAATAATGTGATTGATTTCTTTTTGTGACTAAGTTTCATTTCTTCATCTACCTGTATTTCTAGCTAATTTAACTTGCTTTCCTCTGATTGAGAACTCTTCTAATAAATATAATCCTAGATTATGGTGAAAAACAGAAAAAAAATCAAGAGAGTAGAAGAGTAAAAAATGCCCCTTCATTATCCTATTTGAAATAGCCTAGTCATGTGTTTTTTTCACTTAACATCACTTTCCCACCACAAAATCAGTCATAGTAAGCGCTTGAAATAGCAAAGTTGTATTATGTTGATATGTTTATCATTCTTGATACTGATAACTTTTTATTTTAGATTGTCATTAAGCTGGAAGAAGTGTAATTTTTAGATTGTGGAAAGCCTAGAATCAGAATATAGACCCATGTCTAGTTAACTGAAGAGACTCGAACCAATTTCTTAATTCTCTGATTTAGTATCTAATTTCTGCTTTTAATTGAAAACAATTATAAATCTACACTATGTAGAAACTATGCATAATATGTAACTGTTATAGTCATGATTACTAGCAACTTCTTAGGAAGAGAAGTATGTTGTCCTTAAAGTATATAATGAGTAAGAAACTGATTACTGCCTATTTTCATATTTTTATCAATTTTAGGGCCTGCATATTTGTTAATAGTTACTATAATCTTTATGTGCTTTAGTATCGTTCCATAGAGCAGTCAGGTGAATTATTAAGTGAATAACTTAGATGAATATAAATAAAAGCACCTTCAATTTGAAGGTAAGAGATCAGATGGAATGTAGCAAACTTTTGCAGAGTTGCTTGTTTTAAAGCACATGTGCCTAGATTTTATATTGGTTAACTTTAAGAAAGAGTGTGTGACATGAGGGCTCGCTCTTTGCTTTGGCTGGCAGTCCTGTTTTTTTTCCCCAGCTGGGAAAGGGAAGGCAAATAGAGAGACGAGATATAGAGATATTGGGGAATGCTGGTTTTCTTCAGAGGCTTGTTAGGTCCTCAGGCTAAGACTTTGTAAACTAAAGTGGTCAAGAAAAGTATGTTTGTATGCAAAATACAGATCAGCAGTTTATCAACACTGTCACGCAAAGAAAATGACTAACCTTAAATTTCCTATTCAAGTTTTTATTAGTGACATCCCTCATACTGGGTATTCCAGAATACATATAAAGTTTTGTTAACTTGTTCTTCAGAAAGTATGAGATTTCAATGTTAGTGTCCATAATTTTTTCGGAGAAACATAGATTCAAAACAGCTCCAAGCAGGATTTAGGCAACAGATATTAGTTCACACCCTCAGTCATCTTAGCATTCCTAATACTTAAGGCAGTGCCTGACAGAAGTTCTAGCAACTCTGTAAGTACTTGTTACTTGGATGAATTGCAGTCTTAGACTTACAAAGTCATACCCACTAATCCTATCTTACCCACTTTCCAGATTTCTCATCTAAAAACTATTTTTAGTATAATATGCCAATAAAGAAAAAACATACATGAAGGTTATAAGGTCAAATAAGGCACTGTCAGCAGCATTCTTTACGCAGTGCTTTCCATTTCCCATCCTCCTGTGCTTCTTACAAGAAGTAAATATTTCTTGAGTTTCGAGTTTCTCCTTTCTTTGGATGATATTTTTCACATATAAATAGGAACCCTTATGGTTTAGTTTTTTTTCTGTTTTTGTGCTTCATATGAAATTACATGTATAATTTTCTGCACCTTGTTCTTTCATTATTTTTAGAAGATTGATTTGTGCTGTGTGTTGGTACAGTTCACGTGTCACTGCCATTTAGTGTACCATTGGGATAAGATATCACAATTTACTTGCCTGTTCTCTCAGTTACATAGCTCTTAAATGTAGAGTTGCGGGGTATGTGTATTTTCCACCTAAGATAGTGCCTAATCGTTTCTTAAAGTGGTTATACCAATTTGTGTACTTACCAGAATGTATTTGGGAAAGAAGCAAATCAGTAGGAAGCCTTGTATTTGAAGAAGGTAGCCAGAGTACACTATTTCTAGATTGTGGGGAAAAGGTAAAGAAGAAACTAGCATAAGTTTATAGGTAAATGTTTGAGGCACATAACTTAAGATAGTTACCATTTTATATATTGCATTATTATAGATATCATAGCTATTACAATTTTAGACTTGAAGTTACTTATAGAACTTGATTTGGTTTGCATGGTTTGAAGCTAAGGCTTTGAGAGTGGATTGGTTTGAGTTCTAATCATGACTGTTACTTTTTTCATAATCTTGGGGGGTTTTTTTGTTTTTTTTTATCTGAGACAGAGGTTCTGTTCTGTTTCCTAGGCTATAATGCAGTGCCACTGTCACAGCTCACTGAAGCCTTAAACTCCTGAGCTCAAGCATTTCTCCTGCCTTATAACCTCCCAAGTGGCTGGGACTACAAGGCACGTGACACCATCACCAGCTTTTTTTTTTTTTTTTTTTTTAGAAATGGGATCTGTTGCCCAGGCTGATCTTGAACTCTTGGCCTCAGCAATCCTTCCACCTAGGCCTCCCACAGTGCTAGGGTACAAGTGTGAGCCACTGCACCTAGCTTATAGTCTTGGTCTAAGTGGATCCTAACGATCTGCTTCCTTTTCAGTATTATCAGATTTCTTTATGTCAGTTTATTAGATTTAAAAAAAAAATTTTTTTTTGGTAGAGACAGAGTCTCACTTTATCGCCTTTGGTAGAGTGCCATGGCATCACACAGCTCATAGCAACCTCCAACTCCTGGGCTAAGGCGATTCTGTTCCCTCAGCCTCCGAATTAGCTTGGGACCACAGGCGCCTGCCATGATGCCTGGCTATTTTTTTGTTGCAGTTTGTCTGGGGCCAGGTTTGAACCCGCCACCCTTGGTATATGGGGGCGGTGCCCTACCCACTGAGCCACAGACACTGCCTTTTTAATTTTTTTTGAGACCGAGTCTTACTATGTTACCCTCAGTAGAGTGCTGTGACTTCATAGCTCACAGCAACTTCAAACTCTTGGGCTTAAGCGATTCTCTTGCCTCAGCCTCCTAAGTAGCTAGGACTACAGGCATCTGCCACTGCACTTGGCTAATTTTTGTTGTCATTGGCATTTGCCAGGCCAGAGCAAGGTTCGAACCCACCAGCCCCATTTTATGTAGCTGGCACCCTACCCACTGAGCTACGAGCACTGAGCCTAGTTTATTAGATGTTAAATGCTACTCCATTGCATCTTTATTTGTATGTTCATAGTTATTGATTAGGTTGAATTTCAGGTAAAACCACTGACAGAATATTAGGGAACTGAACTTAGGAGCATCTGCTCTATATTTAGCCACATTTCTTTTTTCTTTGAGGCAAGGTCTTGCTCTATCACTCTGGTTAGGGTATAGTTGTGTCATCGTAGGTCACTGCAACCTCAGACTCCTAGGCTCATGGGATTTTCCTGCCTCAGCCTTCTGAGTAGCTGGGACTACAGGTGTATGACATCATGCCTGATTAATTTTTCTACTTTCTGTAGAGATGGAGGTCTTGGATTTGCTTAGGCTGGTCTTGAACTCCTGGCCTCAAGTGATCATCCTGCCTTATTCTAAAGTGGTAGGACTACAGGTGGAGCCACTGTGCTTGGCCCATCTACTATATATTTAACAGGCCTTTTTATAAATAATCACATTTTGACAGATAGCCTTGCCATATGTAGGAGATTATTATTAAAATACGATTTTCATTCACAAATTTCCTTTCCATCCTAGGTCTAATGTTACATTTTACAGTATCATTGTGTTTTATTTGCAACCTTCAGTAGTTTTTTCTTTCTAAGTCTGTAGCATGTATATTCAGAAGCCTCTAACTAGTATGTTCTCTTTAAAAGTGGTGCTTTTGTGACCAGTAGAAGTCTTACATTTGAAGATGGAAGCCAAAGTACAACTATTTCTAGTTTGAGTGAAAAAAGTAAAGAGGAAACTGGAATAAGTTTACAGGTAAGTAGTATAGTCTTTATTTATGACTATTTTATGGATTATTATTCTGTTATTAAGACTGTACAGATGATATTTGATTATAAAACTGAATTTACTTGTTGGACTGAGCATCATATATATAAATTTGTGGCTTCAAAGTTAGACCTTGGGACAGAAAGACTTGAGTCATAGTCTTCACTCTGTCACTTCATTATATATTCTTATACAAATTATTTAACCTTTACAACATGGAGTTCCTCATCTGACTGGTGGAAGTAAAACCACCCATCTCACAGGGTGAGTTTGTACTATGTATTTTCTAACATAGCACCCTGTTCATTTTCTTTATAGCACTTACAGTTTATAATTATACATATATTTATTTGTCAACTCCACTTTGCTTAAAAGTTGATCTTCTTTTCTCTGTCTTTGCTTTCATCTTGCCTCCTACTTTTTAGAGAAAATACGAGGCATAGTCAGGGTTGTTCAGCCTGTGGCCCCAGGGGCTGCTTGATGATTTTGTAAGGTCTTTCATTTTTTGGTTATCTGTGGTGTCAGATATCACAAAAAGTATGCATGGACCTCTTTTTTGCTAATTATCTTTTGTTAGTGTCTGTGGCCCAAGATAACTCTTACTCTGCCAATATGCAGTATAAGAAAACAAAAAAGGTTGGGCATAGAGAGATATCTGCCTGTCTCTCACTGTCAAACATTTGAGATCTCCCTGCTTTAGAATCTACCCTCTTGTTAAAGTAGAGGAACAGTTTCTCTTTCTAATATTCATTCTTCCTGTGCGTGTGTGTGTGTGTGTGTGTGTGTGTGTGGAGACAGAGTCTCACTTTATTACCCTCGGTAGAGCGCTGTGGCGTCACACAACTCACAGCAACCTCCAATTCCTGGGTTCTCTTGCCTCAACCTCCCGAGTAGCTTGGACTACAGGTGCCCACCACAACGGGGCCTAGCTATTTTTTGGTTGCAGTTTGGCTGGGGCTGGTTTTGAACCTGCCGCCCTTGGTATATGGGGCCGGTGCCCTACCCACTGAGCCACAGGCACTGCCCTGTGCTTTGTTTTTTATTTGCTCTTTTTTAGGATTTTATTATTTAATATGTTGTGCTCCCTTTGAACTATATTCTAAACATTTAAATATCTCTCCTATTACAAACATTTCCCTTCTCACAAACACAAAATTATTTCCCCCTTCCCTGTATTCTCTTTTAGCTATCCCCTCTCCCTTGCTGTCCTTAACAGCCAAGTTTTTTGAAAGAGTCTGTATTTATTTTCTCCATTTCCTCTGCTTACATTCATCTCCCTAACATAGCACTTGCTAATGTCTTCCATGAACTTCATGTTGCTGGCTCTGGTAGAGCACCTTTCATTCCTCTGTTCTGTTAATACTTCACACAGTTGACCCCTTGCTTAACTATGTTCTGTTTAACTTTTTGACCCACTCTGCTGTGATTTTCCTTCCTTCACTTTTGGCTTCTCCACAGTCCCCATGTCCCCTTCTGAGTTTTTGTTAACATCTTCTGTGTACTACACACGGGCTAGGTATAGGTATTGAATATTTCAACACTGAGGGCTTGATTTTGTGTTTCTCAATAGAAACAGTTGAATTATAGAATTAATATGGATGAATTTATATTTAGAAAATATTTCCCAGAGTAAGCATCATAAAGACAGTTAAATCGTTTGATCAATTCAGTTTATTTTTATTTGTACTTTATTGAGATTGTTTAAAACAGAATCAGTCTTTCCTACATAAATTTTATAATGAAGATTTGAATAATTAAGCTACTTCTTTATCCATATGAAATCTTACCAATTTTAATGTGGTTTTGAGTTATCTTTCAAAGAATTCATGACCTTTATTTTCACCAAATTCAGTTTTCAAGACTCAGACTTTGCAGAACTTTTTTTTTTTTGAGATAGAGTCTCGCTTTGTAGCCCTCTGTAGAGTGCTTTAGCGTCACAGCTCACAGCAACCTCAAACTCTTGGGCTTAAGCCACTGTCTTGCCTCAGCCTCCCATGTACATGAATACATTTATGGGGTACAATGTGCTGATTTGATGTACAATCTGGAAAGCATACATCAAACTTGTTAACATAACCATAACTTCACTTATTTGTTATGATAAGACGTTTACACTCTACTCTTAATAATTTTAAAATGTACCATTGCATTATGCACATTAGTTGAGGTACCACCAAATGCCCTCCCTCCTCCTACCTCCCCCTCCTCTCCCCTTTCCTCCTTCTTCCCTTCTTCTTTCCGGACTATAGTTTTGTTTTATTATTCGTATGAATGTGTAGGTGATTATATATTGGTTTCTTAATAGTATTGAGTACACTGTATACTTTTTCTTCCATTCTTGAGATACTCTTCTTTACTAAGAAGAATATGTTCCAGCTCCATCCAGGTAAACATAAAAGATGTGACGTCTCCATCTCTTCTATGGTTGTGTAGTATTCCAGGGTATACATATACCACAATTTGTTAATCCATTCATGGGTAGATGGACATTTGGGCTGCTTCTATGACTTGGTAATTATGAATTGGGCTGCAGTAAACATTCTGGTGCAAATGTCTTTGTTGTAAAATAATTTTTGATCATCTGGGTATATACCTAGTAGAGGAATTAGAGGATTGAACAGCAGGTCTATTTTTAGTTCCTTGAGTATTCTCCAAACTTCTTTCCAAAGTGGATGTACTAGCTTGCATTCCCACCAGCAATGTACAGGTGTTCCCTTCTCTCCACATCCATGCCAACATCTGTAGTTTTGGTTTTATGATGTGGGCTACTCTTACTGGAGTTACATAATATCGCAAAGTAGTTTTGATTTGCATTTCTCTGGTAATTAAAGATAAATGAGCATTTTTTCATGTTTGTAGGCCATGTGCCTGTCTACTTCACAGAAGTTTCTGTTCAAGTCTCTTGCCCATGAAGAAATGAAGCTATTTGTTCTTTTCTTATTGATTAGTTTGTGTTCTTTGTGGATTCTAGTTATAAGACCTTTGTCCAAAATATAACCTGCAAATATCTTCTCCTAACCTGAGGACTGTCTGCTTGTTTTACTTACTGTGCTCTTGGCTGTGCAGAAGCTTTGTAGTTTGATCAGATCCGAGTATTACATTATTGGTGTTGCTTTAATTGCCAGGGGTGTCCTCCTCATAAAAAATTCTTCCAGGCCAATTTCTTCAAGTGTTTTCCCTGAACTCTCCTCTAGTATTTTTATAATTTTGCGTCTTTTTTTATTTTTTATTTTTGAGACGGAGCCTCAAGCTGTCCCCCTGGTAGAGTGCTGTGGCATCACTCACAGCAATCTCCAATTCCTGGGCTCAAGCGAGTCTCCTGCCTCTGCCTCTCAAGTAGCTGGGACCACAGGCGCCTGCCACAATGCCTGGCTTTTTTTTTTTTTTTTTGGTTGCAGCTGTCGTTGTTTGGCGGGCCCAGGCTGGATTCGAACCCGCCACCTTAGGTGTATGTGGCTGGCGCCTTAGCCACTTGAGCCACAGGCACCGAGCCATAATTTCACATCTTACATTTAAATCTTTTATCCAGGCTTGGCGCCTGTGGCTCAAGCAGCTAAGGCGCCAGCCACATGCACCTAAAGGTGGTGGGTTCGAATCCCCAGCCCGGGCCCGCCAAACAACAATGATGGCTGCAACCAAAAAATGGCCGGGCATTGTGGTGGGCGCCTGTAGTCCCAGCTACTTGGGAGGCTGAGGCAGGAGACTCGCTTGAGCCCAGGAGTTGGAGGTTGCTGTGAGCGTGATGCCATGGCACTCTACCCAGGGGGATAGCTTGAGGCTCCGTCTCAAAAAATAAATAAATAAATAAATCTTTTATCCAGAGAGAATCAATTTTTGTTAATGGTGAATGGTGGGGGTCCAGTTTCAGTCTTCTATAGGTCACTAGCCAGTTCTTCCAGCACCATTTGTTAAATAAGGAGTCTTTCCCCCATTAATTCTTTTTATAGACTTATCAAAGATCAAATCATGATAAGTGGCTGGGTTCATCTCTTGGTTCTCTGTTCTGTTCCATATATCTACCTCTCTGTTTTTGTGCCAGTACCATGCTGTTTTGATCACTGTAGATTTATAGTAAAGCCTGAAGTCTGGTAATATGATACCTCCTGATTTCTTTTTATTTCTGAGTGATGTCTTGGCTATTTGAGATTTTTTTCTGATTCCATATAAAATGAAGTACTAATTTTTCAAGTTCTTTATAGTATGACAGTATGGTCATTTTAACAATGTTGTTTCTTCCCAGCCATGAGCATGGTATATTTTTCCATTTGTTAACATCTTCAGCTGTTTATTTTCTCAGAGTTTCATAATTTTCTTTATGAAGATCTTTTATATCCTTTGTTAGGTAAATTCCCAGATATTTCATCTTTGGCACTACTATAAAAGGAGCAGCATCCTTGACTATATTTTCAGCTTGACTATTGTTGATATATATAAAAGCTACTGATTTGTAAGTATTGGTTTTGTATCCTGAGATGCTGCTATATTCCTTAATCACTTCTAAGAGTTTTATAGTTGAGTCCTTTGAGTTTTCTAGGTATACGATCATGTCATCCGCAAAGAGTGAGAGTTTGATCACTTCTGGCCCCATCTGGATACCCTTGATTGCCTTCTCTTGCCTGATTGTGATGGTGAAGACTTTCATTACTATGTTGAATGACAGTGGAGACAAAGGGCATCCTTGTCTAGTTCAGATCTGAGTGGAAATGTTTTCCATTTTACTCCATTTAATATAATATTGGCTGTGGGTTTGCAGTAGATGGCCTCTATCAGTTTAAGAAATGTCCCATCTAAGCCTATTTTTTACATGTTCTAATCATGAAAAGATGCTGGATATTATCAGAAGCTTTTTCTGCATAATTGAGAGAATCATATGGTCTTTGTTTTTTGTTTATGTGATGTATTCATAGATTTACGTATGTTGAACGAACCTTTGCAACCTTGAGATAAAACCAACTTGATCATGGCGTATAATTTGTTTGACATGTTATTGAATTCTGTTTGCTAGGATCTTATTGAATATTTTTGCATTTATATTCGCTAATGATATTGGTCGATAGTTTTCTTTCTTTGTTGGGTCCTTTCCTGGTTTGGGGATCAGGGTGATATTTGCTTCATAGAATGTGTTAGGAAGTATTCCTTCTTTATTCTGTGTTTTGGAAAAGGTTATGTAATATAGGTACTAATTCCTCCTTAAAGGTTTGATAGAATTCTGATATGAAGCCATCTGCTCCTGGACTTTTCTTTTTTTGGAAATTTCATATAGTTGATGCTATTTCAGTGCTTGATATAGGTATATTCAAAATTTCTAAATCTTTCTGGCTAGGAAGGTGACATGCATTCAGGTATCGGTCCATTTCCTCCAGATTTTCGTATTTCTGAGAATAGAGTTTTTTGTAGTATTCATTGAGGATTTTTTGAAATTTTTTTTTTTTTTTTTTTT